TCTGTTCGTCTGTTCTCGATTCAAATCAATATCGGCCACTCTATAATTATATGTCCAAGAATGGTCATTACATGTAGCTTTGGATACATTGGAACATGGGCACATTGAATTTGACCTCCGAGGTCACCTGACATCGCAAAACGGAAAAATGATGAAAAAATCATGCCCAGCAAGCGTTACATCAACGCACCCTGTAGCGGTAAATAAACCGGCCCACACGCAGACGAGATTCACTTTGCACTGACTTGCATGACTGTCGTGTCATTGTTGTAACAACATTCACCTTGCACCGACTTGACGTGATGCGGCCATGATGCCGAGGCGAGCCGAGGATTGACACTTTGTGTCCTCCAATCACAGCCTACGGTTGAAATTTTTATAGGTGGGGACCCATCACAGTACAAAATCGCCGATCTCGGGAACTAGGGCATTCTGCTAGGCTAGAACGGTTTCCTACGATAGAGTTTGGCACAAAAACAAAAATAACACGCCGTTTAGCGCACTGCGCTACGTATTTCTGTTGCATTTTCGCATCTTCGTAATCAGAATAAACCCCGCCTTCTTCGTTGATGGGCATGAATGGGGCGTCACCGACGTTACCAGTTTCTATACCGACTGTGTTTACTTTTCGTAAATAATGAAATGCCCGGCCGATGCTAGACTGGTATCCGTTCGCCACCTTCACTCCGGCAAGTATCCTTCGCTACACTGACGCTGTTAGTGTAGCGTGTGGAACTGTCGACCGGGTACCAGTCTAAGCCGATGCCAAACTGCATGCAGTGCACCTTCGTACACTCCGGATACTCGTAGATTGAGCCCATGAGCGAGAGCGCCATCTGTCGTGGAGTTTGGGCCGATGCGATGCATTTTCTGCGTTTTCTGCGTGATTATTATTTTTGCGCAGGCACTCATTTTCGAAATCCTCCAACATTTTTACTTCTTCCATTAAGTCCATGTTTCACTGTTATTTAGGAAGGAAGGTAAAACTGTGCATTCGTATAATTTCACTCTTGCTTCTATAGTATGATTTCCATAATTTTGCTTTTCTGCCCATGATAATATTTCCCTCATCATGAACCTACATTTTTCAGTTCGAACTCTTATCATATCGTTATAACCACCTATATCGTTAATTAAATCTCCTAGGTATGAATATTTGGTGCATTTTTTTGATTACTTGGTTGCCTATTAATATCTCCTTCTCTATCCTTTCTTTGTTGGTGAATTTTATAACCATTGTATTTGTTTTGTTCATATTAAATTCTAATCTTTTTGATTCAGCTAATCTGGAGCATGACTGAGCGATTTATGTTACTGTTTTATAATCTCCAATTCCTAGAATATCGT